AATCATTATTCTATATATATATGTATAACCAGGAATTAACTTACATACTTAAAAGATTTACATAAATTTTTAACTACTCATTTTAAATTTCATACATAAATGTAGTAACTTAAGTATTATCCATAATTATTTAAATTTTGAAATAAATGACTAAAATTTTATGTGAGACTTCCACAAATAAGTTAATTCTCATTATATGGATATGTACTATAATGTACTGATTATTAATTGCATCATGGTCGATATAGCTAGCATAAATGTGCAAATATCATACCTAATAAAATGGGGAATTCTGCTGCAGGTTTAGGAAAGGGGTATGTATCTCCTATCTTGGGATATATGACTACAGCACCATAAACAGTTGCTCTCCACAAATCGCTATGAGCATGCCACCAAAGAGTCCCTTCTTCTGTAGAGAAAATGATCTTTTGACTAAACTTTTTCCCTGGTTGAATAGGGCATTGTGTAATGTATTCTGGACCATCTGACCATGGATTTCTAGGTTGTGCAACTCCATGCCTGTCAAAATATATCTTAATTGCTATTATGTCGAACACATGTATAATTTATCCCCTTGGTAACAAAAAAAAAAAAAAAATTGCGATGATTTTGGTTCAAGATAATACACTACCAGTGAAGGGTGATGTTGTGGTTGCCCTTATTGTAAACATCCACAATGATTGTCTCTCCTCTGTGGACATATAGTGTTGGTCCAGGTAATTGTCCATTCACAGTTAATATTTTCGTGGTGTTGCATAACCTCGTGTAAGGAACTTCTTCAACCTGCAAAGGCAATTTACAATTAACATGATGAGTTCATGACTGTCATTGTTATTTTTCTGACTTAATTGAGACCGAAAATATACTTACAACGAACTTATAACGAGCCCAAGCTTCTCCATGGGAGACATATAAAAAGAGAAGGAAGCATAAGACTTGAAATCCAGAGACTTTCATATTGGACAACATTTCTCAGTTAAGTTGAGATAATTGCTTGGATGAATATAAATGGAAATGAGCATGAGATATATATATATATATATATATAGAGAGAGAGAGAGAGAGAGAGAGAGCTTTGGACGTACGAAATTAATTATCTGGTGAAGGTTAGGTTAGCTTGCAACACTAAAATGTTTTTGTTGCTCGTAATCAACAGTCAATGATTGTGAAATTCATTTTGATATTAATTGGAGCATGACTTTTCAATTGCCGCCGGTTTTCCGTGTGTGCGCGGATTACTATGGTGGAGAAAGAAAACTTTCTTTCCAACTTTTTCTTTGTAAGGTTTTATATATATATTTTATATTTTAATACTACAATAAAAATAAAGTAAAAATGATATTTTTATTTTTTATTTTTTATACAATTACAAATCAATAGTTTTCCGTACTTTTTGAATGAAAAATGTTCTCACCAAACTTTTTTTTATATAGGATACACTTAATAATTTTCCTACTAATTTAATTTTCTTAAGTCAATTTCTTACCAAATATAAAAAGATTAACAACTTGATAAAATTTCAACAAATTTGATTACAAAATTTATCATGTTTATGCATAGTACTTTTTCAACTACTTTTTCAATAAAAACTTTTTCAATAAAATTAAGATATAACCAAACAGACCCTAGGTTTAGTATGTCCATTAAATTTCTACTATTCTCACATTTTGTTGTCTCGCTTTTTATTTTAATAAGATATTAAATGCTAATATTTCAATTTTTTACTCTTATCTAAGAATGATAGAAATATGTTAAGGTTTTTTTTTAAAAAAAAAAAATTATAAGCAAGGATGAAAGTAGAAAGATAAGCCCTAATTATTGTGATAATTGAATTTCTTAATAATTGTGAATAGGTAAAATGAAATAATTAAATCAAACCAAAAGGAGTAAGTAAAATCTCTTACCTATGATTTTCCTATGAAGGGACGGCTAAGCCCCATAGAATGCCCTCCAACTTTTCGAGTATGTGGGACTTTACCCCTCACATTACAATGTGTGATTTTATACCCTCCTCATATTTGAGTTTATGATAATGAGGCAATATTTAAGGTCAAGGGGCCATGTGTAGCATGTGCATCGTTAATTTCCGTCAGACATGGATAGGTCAGCGACACGTGGGCCTTTTTTACATGTTGGCAGTCTAGCTTGGACTGCTCGTTAGGAGGAAAGATGCCAAACAATGTAATTGTGGGCCCCACTCTAACTCTGACTTATGAGTTGAGAAAAAAAAAAAGGGAAAGTCAGATGAGATATAAAAGAAGAAATCTGTGTTCTTCTTTAATCCATCACTTTCAGACCTATTTCTTTTCTCTTCTTCTTGGCTCCATGGTTTCTTCGAGTAACTCTGAAGCTTCAACACTGGTGGAATTTGGAAGATGCGATTATGATTATGAACGGCAGAGTCGAATTTGCTTTTGTGGTTTGAAGGCGCCAAGTATCATGTCTTGGAGCGAAAAGAATCCTGGTCGAAGGTTTTTTGGATGCCCAATATATGATCCTATTGTAATTTCTTCCCTTAAAATTCTATTTTTAACTTGTGTGTTGTGTGTTGCTTAGGCTTTTCTTTGCTAAGCAATTTTGAAAGTTTTTTTGTTTTCCTAATTTCGAAGGTTTTAGGGTTTTGTTTGATATGGAGTGATAGGTTTGATTCCACATTAATGGGATTTGATTTTCATACTTGCAAACAAGAAAATGATAGTGTAAGTATTTTGTATGGTATGATCATGATTTCTCTTTCAAGGCTAAAGAGGTTATCTTGTGGCTGTACAATAGTAAGAGAGAATTGGAAAATGATTTGGATAATGCAAGAGAAAGGATTAGAGCTCGTATATGGAGCACAAGGGTACTCCTACCCATTTACAAATATTAAACACCAACTAAGCTCAATACTCACCAAACCAGCAATCATAATTATAAAAAATCAGCAACCATAGTAAAAAATAGCCTTCCTCATATGGTCGTCATACTCCCCTTGCTACTGCTTATTAAGTAGCTCTAATAGCGGTTTGCAACATCACAGTAAACCAGCATGCTCAACCGAGCATTATTCTTCATGCAGACCCCTGTTGTTGTTTATGGAATAGCTTCCGCAACCTTTTGTGCCTTCTCATAAGTGAGGGGCCCCAAAGTGCAGCTGCACCTTGTTAGAATTAAAGTCTTCTACTACAGCACCACAATCAAAGTTCTAGCCGTTGGCCCCTAATCCTTGCCACTTTCCATTTTACATTTTACCATTGTAAATAGATTTGCTTAGGAGATTTCATTCATTTGGCTGCTCTTGTTTTGTACATAAATACTGAAGTTCTTCATTCATGAAAGGTAGAAAAACATACATTTTCTCATGGTATCAAAGCAGATTTGACCCTCTGATTCCTTCTTTTTTGCTGCCCAATTTTGCTAGCACTATGACACCATGGCTAAAGTTGAAGCAACCAAAGTTCCCGGCAGTTCCATGGGTGATGTGCATGATTCAAATTCTCTAGCTACTCAAGCTCCTTTGGACTCTTGTAAGAAATTCCTAAACTTATATTCTTCACTAGATGATGTTTGTAGTAAGGGTTCCATGAACTTTGGTGATTGGATTTTAGATAGTGGTGCATCTGACCATGTAATTGGTCATAAAAATAAATTCAAGGAATTCCACCCTTTATCTACTTATAATTATGCAAAAATTCCCAATGGGAAACATGTGCCTATACATGGCATTGGACAGGTATTTTTAGCCCCTAATGTCACCATTGATAATGTTTTGTATGTACCTGAGTTTACATGCAATTTGATATCTGTGAGTAAGTTAACAAAAGATTTAAATTGTGATGTTATATTTTTGCCAACTTTTTGTGTTTTACAAGACATCACCACAAAGAAGTTGATCGGAATGGGTGAAATGAATAATGGGCTTTATTATTTCAAGCTAGTAAGAGAAGCCAAAATCTTATTCATAGGCTATTCAAAATCCTAAGTGGAGAAAAGCAATGGAAGATGAGATGAATGCACTTGAAAAGAACAATACTTGGACTTTGGAGACACTACCCGCTGGAAAACGACCCATAGGTTTTCAATGGGTTTACAAGATCAAATACAAAGTAGATGGCATTGTCGAGCGATACAAAGCACACCTTGTTGCAAAAGGATTCACCCAAGTTGAAGGATTAGACTACTATGATACCTTTGCCCCAGTTGCCAAGCTAGTCACTGTTCGATGCTTACTTGCTGTTGCTCCAATTCGCAATTGGGAGTTACATCAATTGGATGTTCACAATGCCTTCCTTCATGGTGATCTTGATGAAGAACTTTACATGCATCTACCCCCAGGTTATGGGAATAAAGGAGAGCAAAGCGTTTGTCGTTTGAGGAAATCACTTTATGGACTCAAACAAGCATCAAGAAATTGGTTTGCAAAACTCTCTTTTACTTTAAAAATTTTTGGCTTTAGACAATCTATGAGTGATTATTCACTCTTCACCTATTGGCGTGAGAATAAATTCCTTGCCGTACTAGTCTATGTTGACGATTTGATTGTTGTAGGAAATGACACATTGCTTTGTCAAAAGTTGAAAGATTTCCTTCATACAAAATTCCACATCAAAGATCTTGGAAAGCTAAAATACTTCCTAGGCATTGAAGTGGCATGACACCCCTCTAGCATTTTTCTAAATCAACGAAAATATATATTAGACATCTTAGTCGAATTGGGCATGCTTGGTACAAAGCCATCTCTATTCCCCATGAAGCAGAAGCTTAAACTCACTTCAGATGATGGCCCACATCTTTCTGACCCTATGCAATACAGGAGACTAGTTAGGGGTCTCATGTATTTGACAATCACACATCTTGAAATTTCATCTGTTGTCGATATCCTCAATCAACTCATGCAAGCTCCTCAACGGCCTCACCTCGATGCAGCGATGCGTGTCTTACGCTGCTTAAAATCGTCACCGGGCCAAGGTATCTTCCTTTCATCCTCAAGCTCTCTACAACTTTCGGCATATTGTGATTCAGATTGGACCAGTTGTCCTATGACTTAAAGATCCAAAACAGGTTACGTCACCATGTTGGGCACCTCACCTATATCTTGGAAAACAAAGAAGCAATCTACAGTGTCACGATCATCAACTGAAGCATAATATAGGGCTATGGCTTCCACTATATGTGAACTCTTATGGCTCAAGACCTTGCTTCAAACTCTAGGAGTTGATCATCCCCAACCCATGAAACCGTTCTGTGACAACAAAGCTGCAATTCACATGGCTACCAACCCAGTTTTTCATGAACGTACAAGGCATATTGAAATTGATTGTCATTTTATTCGGGAATGGATCCAAGCTAGAGTTATTACTACTTTTCATGTTCGTTCCAAGCTCCAGCTAGTCGACATCTTCACAAAAGCTTTGGGAAGTGATCAATTCCAATTCCTTCTTCGCAAGTTGGGCATTTTTTACTTGCATGCTCCAACTTGAAGGGGGGGGGGGTGTTAGAATTAAAGTCTTCTACTACAACACCACAATCAAAGTTCTAGCCATTGGCCCCTAATCCTCGCCACTTTCCATTTTACATTTTACCATTGTAAATAGATTTGCTTAGGAGATTTCATTCATTTGGCTGCTCTTGTTTTGTACATAAATACTAAAGCTTTTCATTCATGAATGGTAGAAAAACATACATTTTCTCACACCTAATGCCCAAGTGGGAAATGAAATTAAACTGCCTATAAAAAGCATACTGCTGCTTAGTAGGAGTAACTAATTACAGTTTTGTTCTAAAATAATCATCAATATTTAATTTTAAATTTATTTTAAATTTCTTATTATTTTATTTTTTAAGTAAATAAATATTTTTTTCTTTATTTAATCATATTATTATCTATTTATTTTATCATATTATTATCTATTTATTTTAGTTAATTATCATATCTTAAGATATATGTCTTTTATCTTTTAATTTTTTTTAAATAGTATAAATAAATACATAAATTATTTT